CATTATTGGTATCTATTTTTATTTTTGAAATTTACCAGTAGCTGCTGCATTTCCCACCCTAGGCTTATACTCGAGTCCAGTATTTTCCAGTATTTTGTGGTAAAATTAGGTGCCTCGGCTTATATTCGGGTCGGCCTATACTCGAGTATATATGGTAGTTCTTTAATTAAGCACTACCCTAACCAAGGAATTATCAAGGAGAAAAACCACACCCCAATATGGGCAGTGCAAACTATTGTATAAAAAGAAGCAAACTCCACCCTCACTGATGATGTTACCTAATCGGGTAATAAAATGTCTACAACCAGACAAGCCCAGAAGGACTCCATATTAATGGTTTAGTCTGTAAATTCTGGTTAAGCAAACCATCACCCAGTGCTTTGTATGATCCCAATCTGGGTCAGTCTTCCCAAGCTGAGCATCTCTGTGTCCCACTGAAAGGGTCTCTAAACTTGGCAATTTCAAGGCTTGTGGACTTCAGGTTCTAGAATTCATCAGCCAACTATGCTGGCTGAGGAATTCTGGGACTTGAAATCCACAAGTCTTAAAGTTGCCAAGTTTGGAGAGTCCTGTTCTAGGAATTCTGGTTCCCATAGTCCTGTTGGAAAAGACCAGTCCAAGCCAAGAGGATCACAGTCTCTCCTACCTTTCCAATCCCAACACATCAACTTTGTTCTTCTCTCTAGGCATGTCTCTCCTGCCACCAACAGATCCACCGAAACGCCCCCATCTGTCCTCTCTGCAAAGCCAAGAGCCGGTCACGTAATCCGAAGAAACCCAAGAGGAAGCAAGATGAATGAAAAATCACAGAACAGTCTCGTCCAGCCACCCCATCCCAGACCAGAAGACCTTTTCCTTCTTTTGTGGTAGACCTGTCCAGATGATCTACATTTGTTGGCTTGTGAAACCTGAGTGTGACTTAAGCTTTTGTTCCGTTTAATGTGTCAGCACCCTTGTGCAGTCTGTTGAGTGACGCTGGTTTTCAGCAAATCTGGGAAGAAGCTGCTTTTGGTGGAGACGTGAAGAGCAGATAGTGCTACCTTTGGACCCTGCACACCCACAGGGGCTATGCCCTCCTGATGGCAAACATTTTGTGCAGAGAATGTAATGGGTGGCTTGACTCCTCTTTAACAGCATGTGCTTAAAAAGCAAATGGATTTCAAGCCCCCCTTTTTATTCAACTGATCAAAGGCCCATTGTTTCCATGACTTGTTTATTTTTTTTATCAGGACAGTATTTTTGCACCAAGACTATACTTTTCCATTCAGTCTCCAATGCTCAAGAGTCTTTTCATAGAGATGTCAGGATATGTAATGTTTGCTTGGGTTTGTGCTTGGTATAACTTGGTTTTGTGCCTACGTATAACTAAATAAGATGCGATAACTCAACAGTTGAAGAAGCTGAGCTTATAGTCTGGGTTTGAGACCCAAGCGCCTTGGGATAGGGTGAGCTCCTGTTCTTTACTCCAGCTCCTGTCCATCTAGAAGTTCAAAAGCATGCAATTGCAAGTCTATAAATAGATTTTACTTGGGGGGAAGATAACAGTGATTTGTGCACCTTTGGCATATAGCCATACTGGTCACATAACGAAGGAAGTGTCTGCAAACAATGCTGACTTCCTAAGAAACAGATGAGCATCGCCCCCTAGAAGCAGACATGACTTGACAAAACTACTGAAGTTCTGTTACCCAGAACTACTGAAGAACTGTGTAGCTTCTGAATTCCCTGCATAATCATCTCTAATGTGACTCCCTTTTCCTTTTCCTGCTGCAACATCGTCTGTATTGATCTTTGTCCTCCTGCTGGTGAGGAGGGTGTAGTTGTTGCAGAACCAATGGTTATTACTTTTTTACTCATCTTCAAATTCTTCTGTGTTCTAATCCACTAGGTATGGGTATCAATTGTCCAAAATGACCATAACATGGTCAAAAAATAAGAAATAGGAAAAGAATTAACAAAAAGAGGCAATAGTCCAAAAAAAAACACAGGAAAAAAAGTAAAGAAGGGGGAGGGAAAAAAGAAAACATACTGAGAAGAACCTTATCCAATTTAATCCAATTTGAAAAAAGGAAAAATATGAAAACAAGGGAAAAAGAAAAAAACAATTAAAAATGATCCCCAAATTAAAAAAATCACAATGTGAAAAAGCAAAGATTGTGCAGAAAAAATATTTAAATTCCCCCTTTGTCCAATTCAATGGAAAACAAAATAGCTGGTATCTCCCAAAATATGTAAAGAAATAGCAAGAAAAAAAATAGCCAAAACAAAACAGAGGGGAAGCACAACTTTAACAAGGAGAAATAGACACTGCCACACACACACCAAAAAGTTACAAGGCTTTTCTGAGATGGAATAAAAGGAAGTAAGAGCCTTTCCCAGCTCACTCCAGGCTTTCTCAAAATTGTTTATCTTATTCTTTCCAAACAAAGTTCCAGGCACTGAGGATTTCAAAGGGAACATCTGTATAAACAATCCTGTTCTTTTCACTGTCAGTTCTTCACTTAGTAACATGCCCTTGAGGGAAACAACTTTTCTCCAAACATTTCATGCAAAAATAAAGCCTCTAGATGGCAGTGTTACTAGTTTCCCACTTTCTCCTCTGCATTTTACTTTCTAAAAACATAAAAAATCCACTAAGAAGAAAAAAATACAGGAATACTTTAAACCAAAATAAACAAAGGGGAAATTCTTAAATGATGCATTTTAATTGTCCAAAGGGTCCAAATGAAAAAAAAGAAAGAAAAAAGAAAGACATAAGCCATATCCATTTAAAAGTGAACTACGTTGAAAGTCCAGTCAAGCTTCCAGCAGTAAAAAGGAAAAATAAAGAGGAAACTTTTGACTATATATTAAATTCGCCGCTTACTCTCTCACCAGTCAGCTTTTTAACTTAATTTTCTTCACATAGGGTGTTCTTTGAAATAGAAGAAAAATATAACACACTTACCAAAATGACACGCTTCTCTCCTGCACTTTACGTAGCGGAGCTGTCTGCAGTTTCAGCAACGTTGTGGCTGCCTCTTAGCCGCCAGCAAAAGGAGCTTTCCCTGGATCACCGGAGACTTTGTGGGGTCTCCGTGATCGACAGGATATGCCGGTTTAGGTCAAAATTGGACCGCCCAGAGACCAAAATTCGGCAGCAATCCTGGAGCAGCAGGAATGTCCGTCATTTCACCGCGACACCTAGTGGTGCGGGGTGAGTGAGCAGTGACTGGGGGACCAATTCGGGGGTGTGACCAGCCAGCAATCCCTACTGGTTCAACGACCCTGGCCTAATGTCCACTACCAGTTGTCCTGAACTGGTCCGAACTGGTAGGATTTTACCCTACCAGTGTATGTGTTCTGCTTTATTTTAAAAAGGACAATGATCAGGTAATAAAGGTAATGCAGATATTAACCAAAGCCACTTCCTATTTCTGCTTACCTGTTTCCATCTTGCCTCTTTAATTTCCTCAGGTAAGCATACATTGTTTTAGTAGGATAGCAAGGTTGTAAAGCATGAAAAAATCCATAAAAAGAAGAACATCATCAAAGATCATCCGAAAGAGAGGGACATCCTTTGTTGGTTATTGGGTTTGGAGGGGCTGGTGTTGCTCAGATACTTCAAGGGAGAAGAAAATCTTGGTTTGAATTTTCTTTTGCCCAGATTTATACTCCCTCTGATCCTTCACTTTGAAGATAAAGGAAACAGAGAAATTTGCTTCTGACACCATTGTCCTTTTGAATGGATGATCAGAACTACCTTCTTCATTCAAAGTAAGAAAGAAGCCCTTTCTGCAATCAATGGCTTGGTTTTGAAAGTGGTTAAGGCTTCAGCCCGCAGTGACAGCAAAATGAACCTCTGGTAGCCATTTTTTGATTTTAGCTGATGATCCAGCAGAAGACCAAAGGAAGAAATCAGAATCGCTTTGTTCTTCATAACTATTATGGGTCAGAGACCAGGATATTTTTAAGCATATTCTGCATATTCTACAGTTTGTTCTTTGTTCTTCTTATCATACTTTTATAGTCATTTCTCTAAGACATAAAAAAACAAGAAACGTATAATAATATAGTATAATATAGTATAGTATAATAATTCAGTTGGCATAATCAAAGGCCCTTTGCATCCCCTTCTCTCCAAATTTGAAAGCTCTTCATGAAAAAATTCAATTAAATATTTTATGCAGACTGGTGCTTTAAATCTTGAGTTAAGTCTTGGTGGTCCATGGCCACAAAAAAGTATTTAAAGACTTTACTTATCATAGATTTATCACAGAATTAACATAAATAATTCTATCCTTTCCCTGACAAACCATACTCAATGAAAAGTCCTTAATGGTACTACATCTACATGGAGGGAAGTAAGCAGTGGGGTACTACAAAGTTCCATCTTAGGCACAGTCATAAATGACTTAGATGTGGGAATAGAAGGGGAACTTATCAAATTTGCAGATGATACTAAGCTGGCAAGAATAACCAACACCCAGGATGATAGGCTCAAGATCTTCATAGACTTGAGCACTGGACCCTAACTACCAAAATGAAATTCAATGTAGAGAAAAGTAAAGGCTTACACTTAGGCAAGGAAAACCAAAAGTAGACATATAGATTGGGTGATACTTGGCTCAACAGTGAGCGGGATCTTGGAGTCTTAATGGTCAACCAATTAAATATGAGTGTCAACCAGAGGTGGTATTCAGTGAGTTCTGACTGATTCTGGCAAACCTGAGCCAACCATGTGTAGCGGCAGCCAAAAAAGCCAATGCAATCCTAAACTGCATTAAGAATGGATTCCATCAAGAGTAAGGGGGCTGCGTGAGGAGAAACAGGAGAACCTGAAACAGACCCTATCAGAAGCTTTTGATCGCCTGATGGGAAGACCAGGGACCAACCAAGACTGGCAAATTGACAAAGCTTACCGCGTTAACTCCTGGCTGGCAAAGCAGAAGCAGCTTCCTCGAGACATCGTTATATATTTTACTACAAGAGAGCTTAGAAATATGGTACTGCAAGCGTCTTATAACACTAAGCTTCAAATTGGCGGTCAAGAAATTTTGAAAGAGATACCACCTCAAATGTTAAGAGCCAGGAGAGACTACGCTTTTTTAGTCTAAGAACTCAGAAATCGCCAGATACAGTATAGATGGGACGCACCATTTGGCATTATACTTACATTTGATAGGCAAAGATATCGCCTCAACTCCGTATGGAAAGCCCGAGATTTTTACCATAATATATTGAAGGCTGGNATGGCTGTGAATTATGGTCATTCCCAGCCCAAAATATTTCACAAATAGTCTGTAAAGAGTCCAACAGATGTCTGCTCGAGTTGCCAAAGTCTTTCAGGGTAATGTTGATAAGCACCCACCTTTATCTCCCTTGAAACGATACCAGAGACCTAATTGCCAATTAGTTTTGCAAGGCCAAATGCAGCACATCAAACAGGAATTCTCAGAGCTTGAATCGACCAGATGAACTAATTGCTTCATGCAAAGGCTCACGTCCATTTGCTCCTCTTTTATGTCTTATGGGAGGGGCCAATCACTCCAAGCCTTACTCCCAAGTCATCCTTTTTGTCTTAATTGTTCTTGCCTTCATGCGCACATTGGGCACAGGCTCACACTGTTCTTCTGCCTCTGATGTCAGACTCGGGAGTTTCCGGAGGCAGCACGTAAGTACCAAATGGCCCTGGCCCTCTCTCTGCTTCTGATGCAGAGCCCTCATCCGAGCCTTCCCCAGACTCCAAGACTGGCCCATGTTCCTCTCCAACCTCCTCACTGTCTGACTCTGCTGCCAGCTCCGCAGGCCACTGGCAGACCATAACAGATATATCTCGTGATGACAACATGTCATGAGTTTGACACCCCTGGGGTAGGCTAACGTTCAGCCTAGATTATAACTGCCTTATTATTACTTTGCTTCTTGTCCTTATGGGAAAGACAGGCCTCATTGGTTGGTTCCTTGCTGGATCAGTCTACTGTAGTTCCCTTCTCTTTTTTGGAACTGTTCTTTCTTCTTTAGCCCTTCTGTTTCCTTTGTTTCCCAGGTGTTTGCATGCATGGATGTTTTCACCACAAGTTCCTATATTATTTTCTTTGATATTAACACATATCATTTCTTTTTTCTATTATGGTACCATCATTGTTCTCATGCCAAGTTCTTTTGTTTCTTCCATTCCTGTAAGACAACAAAAACTTTGAACAGGGACAAACTGACAATTCAGCCCCATAAAATAAGTAGGAAGAGGAAGGAAAGCCTTGTAGAACTGTGGGCAGGAGGTGGGAAAGCAAGAACATCCAACCTGGACAGAAAATGAAAAGGTGCCTACCTGGTGATATGAACAAAGAATTGAGCACAAGCTTCAGGAGCTGAGGGTAGCTCACTTAATGGGGCCTTTGTTGGATCAAAGAATGGACCAAAGAAACCATCTGGTCTAAAACCAGATGAGAGCTTGGGTGATAAACAGTTTTGAATTGAAGATGAACTGAAGATTGTGACTGGAATGCATTTGTAATGGGCTGGAAATAGGAGGAATTGCCGTCCTATGTTCCTGGCCCTAAGGAAGTAGGGAATGGCCCACCTTGGTGATGTGCTGAGCAGAAAAAGCAGTTCTCCAAGTCTTAATAAAATCCTTTGCTACAACAAACAAAGTTAAACTTGATGGTTATCTTGAATGCATTTGGTTTCTGTATTGTGTTTCCTTTTGGAGTCATGTAGTCATTTGTCAAATTAGAAAATGTGCATGTCTTTATTAAATTTCTATCTTACTGATGCAGTGACTGTGGGTGACATAATAAAAAGTTAAAAGTGCTAAAATTAGAAAAATTGAATAGTGAAGTTAAAATTATTTAATTGCATCTGTTTTATAGTAGTGTTTGATCTTTTTTTCAGATGCAAGTTTTGCCATGGATATAATCTACAAAACTTTCTTGACAATATTGTTGATGATGCAATCAGAGAGTGGATCAGTCCAGCTTCTCTTAGCTATTGTACTCTACTGGAGGCATATGCTCCATTGTAATCACTGGACATTTTCCTCCAAAGCTATTTTGAGTTGAACTTCAGAAAAAAACTTGGTCCCTGGTTTTCAAACATGCATCTGTCACTGTAGTATCTCGACAATGCACTGTGCAGGCTTATGTAAATGGATCTTGTAAGATTAACCGTATTTGTGTTCTATCTATGTGGGTTTACTGGTGACTACATATGGAACTTTGCAATATTTCTTGACAGTACTAACCAGGCTCGTATTTTATCTCCATCATAATATTCAGGAGTCAAAGAAGAAAAACAGTGCAAAATCTCTTTCCAGATTTTAAAACCATGGAAATAGAAGTTTCCCTAATCCTTATTAAAGTCAATTTATCACCCTTTTATTATTATCCATTTTATTTATTTTAGCCTAAACCTATGAGCTATAATCTACTTTATTCAGGTTGTATCCTCAGCAAATTCGGCTCAGGTCAATCCATTTTCAGCTGCACCAAATTCCGAACTGAGAAACGCCTCCAGTTCCGGACTAAAAAACGACGGTTGCTATTGCTGCATCCTCTTGTAATACAGATAAGCAAATAAAAAGCTCTTCTCTCTTGAAGGGAGAAAGAAAGCGTGCTGAGGGATAGAGAGAGGGAGACTACATTTCCCAGAACGCTTTGCCCAGGAGCTTGCTTTTGGATTGGCCGCCGCCCGGCCCAATTCGGGCCGGGAAAGTGGCGTGGATAACGGCCGCTAGCAGGTAGACGGGAGGTATTGAAGGGCGCTGTTGGGAAACCATGGCATCGCTACGGCTCTTAAGGCTGCACCTGTCTGCGGGGAGCTGCCTCCTCTTCCTCCTTTGTTTCCAGTTCGGAGGAAGCCAAAAGAAGAAGGAGGTAGACCCCTCTTCACCTGCCCCATCTTTCCTTCTTCCCCGGGAGCACCGATAAGAAAGGGCAATTCTGTCCCCCACCCTTCCCTCCACGCTGCTGGCGCCCTTGTTTTATTTTACTGCATCGCTGCTTTCCTTTCTCGTCCCCACTTATGCCATTCTGACCTCGCTTTCCTTGTTCTGTGCGCGTTTTGTATTTTACAAGCGTCCATCTGGTTCAGAATTGGTTCGCAGCCATTTCATACGCAGCCCCGAATTTTCTTTCGGCAGTCTCGGAGACTGCCATCTCACGGGGCTGCCTTCCGAGTAAATTTTCCCTGGGGACCGTGCATCGGTAGCCATTCTCCGTAGGTGCAGAAGTAGAAACAATGGTCCTTCAGGCCTGGCCTTCAAGATGTAAATCAGGTGGAGAGAGATCCTAGCTGAGGGCTTGAACTAATTATCCAGCCGTAAACTGGAGCTCAGGGACTCAAGAGCCTTTTATTTTCCAAAACATTACAATAAATCAATAAATAAAGCTTATCTTCTTTGATCGCACACGCTGTCTATCATAACTTCCAAAATAAATAAGATAAATTATTCTGGGGCCTGGATTTTTCAGGGGAGGACTCAGTTTCCTTGAGCAAGTATTTGGGAATAAGAAAAATGAATTTGATGTCAAAGATGGTGACTTTTATACAGGACTTAATTGCTGGGAGGTTTTTTCATATTTTTTTCTTATTGCATTTTGCTGATATTTTGAAATTTTCTGCAATATTTAAATCCACCTGAAGCTGATTTTCTAAAAATAGAATTTTATATTCCTTGTTGTGGTCTTACAGGTCTTGATTAAAATTAAAATTAAGATTAGAAAAAAAAGGAAAACTCAAAATATATCTAAACTGACTTACAGAGGGAAGGAGGTGTTTCAACAGGAGGAGATTCAAAAGGCATTTCGGGAATTTTTTACAGAATTGTATAAAGGGGATAAAATTAAAATTTAGATATAGACAAATATTTAGATAAAGAGAAAATACCCTCAGTTAGAGAAGAGCACAGGCAAAAATTGAACCAACCAATAACCTCGGGGGAAATTTTGCAGGTAATTAAGCAATTAAAGTTAGGGAAAGCACCAGGTACAGACGGTTTGACAGCGGTTTACTATAAAAATTTACAGTTAGAAATGGTAGAACCT